CGAAATATTTGTGGACAATAATATGGCAATGTACCGCAAAATGTTTCGCTTAAAACATTATCATCATTCATATCGAGTACATCGGTAGTAAAACCAAAATCCGTTAATTTTATTATCCATTTATCATTAAGTAAAAAATTTTCAATCTTAATATCACGATGTGCCGTCCACATTTCTTCATGAAGATAATAAAGTGCTTGGCATGCCTGTCTAAACCATATTCTTGCACGTCGTTCGGAAAGTATACCATGTTTTTTTAAATATTTAGCCAGATCACCATTGGCAGCGAATTCCATAAAAACATAAATCTTTTTATTGGAACGAAATATATCATAAACACGAATTATATTTTCATGTCTTATTTCCATCAATGCGGCCAATTCTCTTGGCAAAAATTTTTGCATATATTTTTGACTACATCGTAATAGATCAATAATTTTGACGGCACAAATTTCATTGTTACGTAATCGTTCAGCTTTATATACTTCGCCATATGAACCGAAGCCAACAATGGTCAGTAAACGATAACCTTTTTTCGTTAACATCAATAATGTACGATCATCGATTTGTGGTGTTGTAGTTGGATCTGAAAGTTTGGCATGTCTTTCTTGACGTTTAGCTTTTTTTGACATTTACTTGCTTGTTATTATCATTTAATCATTTCACATTTTTCAAATAAATTCCACCGAATGTTTTATATACAATATTTACTTGTTGAAGCAATTCTGTTAATAATTAAATTTTTTCCACAAAAAAAATTTATTTTAATTCAATTTTAACAACAAAAAATTATTACAAAACTTTTATCAACGGCAATAAAAATCATCATAAATTAATTAATTAACATCTTTTAATTGGATGAGTTTTAATGCATTTTGCTTCATTTTTGAAGATTATAAAAAAAACATTTAACAATCAAAAGATAATGATAATGAATTGATAAAACAAGACAAAATATGAAAAATTAAAATAAATGTCCGATTTATTATTAAATCTCAAAAGGATTGATGTACTCCAGGGTTGTCTCAATTAATTAGCCTAAAATTGTTCCCAAGTATTTCCAAGTATTTTTTGTTACATTGATTTGATCTTATCTAGAGATTTTTGCTATTATTTTTCCCTATTTAAAGTAAGTTTTTTCCCGGAATAATTTTCAAAGATCATCAGACAAAGCTTAATAATGATGAAATTCTTATTAGTTGTATTTTTTTGCTTCATTAGCATCGTTTATGGAATCGAACAGGTTCATATTGCACTTGGATGTAAGTTTGTTT